GAATTCATTTCTTAATAGAGTTGCAGAACATCGACCTGTTATTTTGCAATTACAGCACATATAAAGGACAGAGTGACGAGACCCAATACTTACGGAACGCATTAGTGAGTAGAAGGTGAGCTAGGCAATACATTAGATTTTCCTAAGAAAAGGGACATAAACATGTGTTGAATTATCCAATTTGTGTCGCGTGAATAGCGATGGCGTACAGCCGAGCGGATGGATTCGCAAGAGGCAAGACGAGGAGATGTTTGAGCCAATCCTGTTTTCTCATCAGCGCCGGCGCTGTGACCAAACGAGCACCTGCGACCATACTTTGATGTACTGCCACGCTCTCTCACAGTACATCTCCATCACTAACTGTTATAAAGTTGAATTCCACTGGGTGGTTTCCAAACCAATTTTCAGGGTACCTTCAACCAATGTCGTTCTGGCCCCGTTTTCCGTTGCTGGCAAAATCGAATACGAGCAATTTTGTCGGCTGCAGACTCTATTTTTTTTTACGATAAAATTCTTTTCTCAATAACCAAAGAGCTTCCGGGGTATTGAGCATGAGAGTTTTACAGAAGAAACTTTGCTTTATCGTTCTATGAGTATGAGTGGTATTCATGCAGCTATTTATCATGTGTTAATATGGTCCATATTGCAAATACAATGCTGTCAGCACGTGGACGTATTTTGCACCCTATGTTGGGCCAAAGGGCTCGTGTGGCACAGTGGTCGGAGGAGCCCTGCAACACACACGTGGAATCGATCCGCGCGCCTATGGCCGACCTAGCCACGGGGTCGGCAAATTAGTACTAGACCTGTTTGGGAAATTCGATACATTGGTAGGCCACCGTGAGTCATTGTAAAGCCCAGATATGCGTTCAACCACTTCCAACGATGCTTGATGAAGTCGAATACATGGCGCATCCCTCAGAGATTGATCAACACCGAGAGTTTCATCCTTTATTTTATCCTTTATGTTGAACCTACTTCGGTGTTTTATATCGCCATATTTCATACAATAACGACGATTAAGATGAACCAAAAAAACTGTTAGTTAAATCATCGATCAATGAGCTTCTTCGAACAAAGGCTTTTTGTAAGTCATTAAGTAGAGCTAATGGCTTTTCAGGTCCCAGCCTTCGCATTTCGATGTACTTTTGATTAACCATCGAACGACTACACATCGTGCAGTAGAGAAAAAACTCTGGAACCCGCTCAACTGAATGTGGACACTACTGTGTCCATATGGAGAGGAATGGGGTAACCATTGCATTACACGCGCCCGTACCAACTCGATTACTTCCATTAAATGCCCTTTTAGTTTCGGACATGTATACATATTTCATTGGAAAACAAACATGGAAATAAAAAGATAGGCCTACAACAATGTTCTTCATTTTAACAACCAATTCCATGACATTGTTTTAAATTTGGAATACCACTCGCCCTAGTTTGCCCATGCTTAATTACTCTTCCAGTTTTTCAGTATATTAATTCTCAGATGTACAGATGGACTACCTTCATTGCCCTATAAGAACCCTTCTATTAGACCCGAAAAAGATTGATACTTGAAATTGATCGTCAGCTAAGGCATTTCCGGGTTTTTATCCGAATTTTAGATACCGTGATCCTTAAGTGGAGAAGGAAGATGGAGCAACTCCTACGACCAGCAAGCCCAAGTATTTCGATACGATATACGCTGCAGAAGACTTCATTTATTTAAGACATCTTATTTAGAAAACATACATGTATTGAAGGTGACATGCGCCCATGCCGCCGACAAGAGTTGGCTTAAAAATTCTGAGCCCATTTTAACTAAATCACGAGGCGAATTAAACAGGACCGTTGTGAGGAATATGTTTTAAACCGCCACAAATGTATGCACAGCGAGAAAGCAAAAAAAGAATCATGAACTTGAAGAGTCAAATAGGCATTTCCATTGGCTAGAAAACTGTAGCTTATCGTAGTAGGTGTAGAGCAAAAACCAAGGTCCCGAAGGACGAGCCTGGCTAAAACGAGGTCCTCTTAAGCAGCCCTTAATTTCAGACTTATAAGCAACGCAGTGAAACTTTGCTTAAATTTTTTTTTGTTCGGCTAAAAACCCGGAAATGCCTTAGCTGACGATCAATTTCAAATATCAATCTTTTTCGGGTCTAATAGAAGGGTTCTTATAGGGCAATGAAGGTAGTCCAATATAGTGTAGAATTTTGAAAAAACCCCAACATTTATAAAGCAAATACTTCACTGAAGACATGAACATGGAGAGCGAAAGACTCATTGAGCCCTCCAGCTCTCCGTGGTCAGTGAATGTAACGGATTTGTCTGAAAGAATAAAAACATTTACTTGATACATCATTATGCCTGATACACACCATGCCTCCGTAACTCAACGTACACGCCAAATATGCAGTCAGCCACCTATACGATGCTCGACGAAGTCCTATGCTTGAATGAAAGCGAAAGTTCTGGCCTTTACCCTTATGTTGAGGCAAGACGAGCACTGGACCAGAAAAAGCGGACGATTCGGATGCCCTTCATCTTGTTTACATCCACGTTGCTATTTTGGATAAACCTAAGCCATTCACTTATTTTTATCTTCAGCTACAAGTCGTCTAGAAATGTATAGCTTTAAAACTATATAGAAATACGTATTTTAAACAAGTCAGGATGTTCAATATGTGGGACATACACAGAGCTTCATGAACAAGTCCCTTCATAATGCATATCGTTCTTTTGGATAGAAGACTCTTTTTTTCTCCTTCTTTTTCTTTTCTCTTTTGGATAGAGATTTCTCCACAAACGGCTAAGAAATGGGATAAAGGGATAAAAAGATACAGATCTCGACGTTGATCTATCTCTTAGGGATGCGCCATGCAATCGACTTCATTAAGCAACGTTTGAAGGTGATTGAATGAATATCTGGCCTTTACAATGACTCGCAGTGTCCTAGTGGCGTACCGATGTATCGTACCAGCGCTGATAACCTCCTAGACTAGTTTAGTCCCAATGTGCCGACCACGGAGCGAAGGAAGGCTTGTTGGGCTAGGGACGCGGGAACCGATCCCATGCGAATTGCAGGGCGCTTCTGAGCACTGCGCCACACGTGCCCAGAAATAGGATAAAGGATAAAAGGATAGAGCTCTCGGTGTTGATCAATCCCTGAGGGATGCGCCGTGCATTGAACTTCATTAAGCGTCGTTTAGAAGTGATTGAGTGCACATCGAGCCAGTGCTGCTATCCTCCCAGACAAGTCTGGTATCAATTTGCCCACCTCGGAGGGATGGAGAGCTTGGTGGGCCATGGGCGCGGGGATCGATTCCACGTCTGTGTCGCAGTGGCGCATCCAACCACACCACGGCGCCACACGCGCCCTTACCAGAAATGGGATAGAAAGATAATTTCGTTCCATCACAGTAATCCTTTATATTGTAAGAAATTGCCATCTGTTGATAGTGCGTACTATAACAAACCACTATCAACTTTCACTGTTACGGTGCTGCATTCCAAGTTTCGAATTATTTCAAGTGGCGAATAGTTAAGGCTCGACGACAACGACCATTTAAATACCTAACAATGACGATGTCGTTGTTCCAGAAACATACGATTATGATCCATGATACTAACTCCTCCTAGAATCACTGATTGTCTACAAGTTCTGCCAGTTTCGTTGAGCATAAAATGCAAAACTGACGTGATTTCCGTGTAGCTTTCCTGGGTTTTGAGGTTGACTATGGCTTTGCGGTGAAACGAGATGCAAAACACAATTCGTACCCTAAACACATGAATGCGCGCATCTGTGAGGATTCAGGAAATCCTTCCCAAGGACTCTACTTCCCATACCTGATACAACCTGGTACAAAATGGTCTGCGTAGAATTCCACATTCGCAACTATGGAACATGACATATTGGCGTTATTAGACACAAAAAATAAAGGTAATCCCGCAATCATTAATTAATCCTTGTGGGTGGGTCATACATCCGACTTTGTCAAGAACCGTTAGAGATGAGTGAATGCACATCTGGCCTACACAACCACCTCCAGCCGCTTACCAATGCAATAAGTCAGCATTTCTGTCCTCCCAGAGAAGTTTGGTACTAATTTTCCGATCCTGAAGAGTTGAAACGATGAGGCAGTGGTGCGGGACCGATCCCATGTATTGCAGGGCGTCTCTGACTACTGCGCACTTTATTCTTTTCAACAAGCAATGACTATTAAGAACAAAGTGTTTTAATTGAACCTTTTGAGTATTGATCCATTTAAAAAACGACAGACTGAGAAAAACTGCTGAAACTCGCTGTCAGAACAGATACATTCTTAGAATCTGTTACATATTCTCATCAGCGTAGGCTATTAGAACAATCTCCATGAAACGTTATTTAGCCTGAAAATAAAAATACCTCTTTCCTGGATGTGATGTCCAAAAGAATATTTGTTAAGCACAAAATTAGTGCAGAATGTTAATCAGCACTGAAATATTGCACTGTTCTGATACCCAATTGAAGATCATGTTGACAAATCTATAAAGGTTTATTCCAAGCCAAATAAACAATAACATCCAAGCCAAATGAGAATCTATGAAGATATGAAAAAGGTTTCGAACAGTTTAAATAAGTCGGTGATATAACCACAGAGGTTATATCTATTATATTCCGCTTAGATGTGAAGAGGATATACAAAATGACAATGAGCTCGGATATTTGCAAGCGGTATCCGTCATCAACCTTATGATAGACCATATAACCATGATTTTTCAATCCTTCTGATTTACCGCATGTCTTATTTAACGATATTTAAGCGAATAAAAAAACACCTATAAATCATCGAATCTTGTCAAGCTGGAAGTACAAGAAATTGCGGTCAGTAAGATTCAAGAAGCGAAAACAGAATAGGATACAAGATGCTGTTCAAGACCATAAATGACACATCATCAGTCATATTTGGACAGCCACATGAAATCAATATCCTACTAAATAAATAGATGCAAAACAAAAATGTAAATGGGAATTCTCATGGCATTTTTAGAAGAGCCTCGTAATCCACTTCACCATTAGAAGTCAGAGGCACGTCTTCGGGCTTTACATCACCCAAACCCATCTTTCTCATCGCTGCTTGCGCAAAAGAAAATTTGCCATACTCGAAATTAGTTGTCCCACTAAACATTACGTACTTTCAAATACCAACATCTAACTTACGTTCAGGATAAAACTCGAAAAGAAGTACGCATAAAACATAAAATCTAACAAAGATTATGAACAGCCGAATAATACGTCTAATCCAATGACCACTTATTTCAGCGCAATGCAATATTCAAATCGTTCTACTACCACAAACAACTTCGGTCAAAGATAACATAACATCATCAAGCATCCACTACTCATTATTTTTCGCTCTTTCTTTCAATATAACGATCGAACTGTTCGCCTCAATAATGAAAATCCGCTAGCTTTCTATACATGGATATATAAATATAACACCATCGGATAAGTGCAACGTGGAAAAATCTTAGAAAACATGGAAAAAATTATTCACCTACCTAGTGAGCCACCACATTATGAAAGGTTGCGTAATAAGGATAAATAAAATCAGTGCCAATTTCCTTTTTCGACCATCCTCGCCACCAAAATGATGAGAGTCAAGCACAAAGTTTTTCACTGTCCGAAGCTGGAATAATGTTCAATCGGCCACAATTTAACACTAATAATAGCAGACATCTCTGATCCGGAGTTTTGAAAAGATCTTAGCATCATTATGACTAATATTAGCTTTTAAAAGATAAACGGATATTGATTATCAAGAAAGAAATATCATCCAGGAGAAGAGTACGCAATAAAAAGAGGTCACTCGGAAAAAAAAACAGATTTCAAAGACTAATGGTACAATTCACTGAAAACAAATCGAATATTTTCGGCATGACTGGTTTAAGTGGGCACGTACCAAGCGATGGTTTCAAAAGCACAACTCTTCATACCTCCTGTAACATCAAAGAAGAGTGAAACTGTAGCTACACCAATACGAGTACCACCATAAATATCAAGTAGTTGAAAATCTCTCTCCACCCTATCCGTCTTCACACCTGCTATACGGAATCCAGCACTTCTTGCATTCGACTTCGTTTTCTCACCCTCGTCATCCTCGAAGGTCTTCGAACTTCTCACGCGTTAGTTCGTCGGCTGCTAAAAGATTGTCGTACTCTCCTGCGTGGGCTCACAGACCACATATCATAATATTAATTCCGATAGCGCTCCAATGGCTGCGGTTCGACGAGCCCAACACGCGAAAGTCCCAGTGTTCGTCAAAGAGTTAATTAAGCCCATGTTTCTGCTCTATTGTACAATTTATCACAGTTGCTACGTTAAATAAGTGAGCATCATGGTCAAAAGCAGTAGTTCAGCCAATATTCTCTACACGAGGAACAACGGCTGATTATTAGTCTCGATATCATTAGCTCATAAACTTATCAACAATCAATGAACATTCTAAGTATATGTGAAGTACAACCTTCTCAAACAGTTGTCTACCAGAGCAAATCTGTTTCTTTCACATATGTTCTTCACTAACTGTTTTCTTACGATGCATATTCTCATCAAGGGTATTTTATAAACTGGTCCCCTCGTAACTCCTGTTTATATCCTCTGCCTCGTATTATTGCGCTAGAAAAATCTTTTGTCTCCGATTCTTCGGTACTACTCGGAAATACGACAATTTCTTCGCCAAGACGAAAATTCGAAGGGAATCGTCCAACAACACGTATCCCTGTTTCGTCCCAACCAAGTGATTATATGCATGCCATGGCACTAGACAGCTTTATCAATACAGAGTTACTTTGTCGTACCCCTTGCCAAGTGGAAGACTGAATGGGCACCAAGGAAGCTGAAACGTTACAATAAATTAATCGTTGCAATGAACAATAATTTCGTGTCGGGGCTCTATGCCCTTCAAGTGTTTTGACATGGTCAACGCTCATTCGAAATCCATCTCTCTCTAGTAACCTGTGCTTCGTGGTTCACTAAAATTTCTCGAAATTCCCGTTAGGAAGGTTTTCGCGAGAACGGTCCAGGGAACGCTCAGTACGTTTAGCATAATGAGGCCAGAGGCCATAGTTATTAAGGTCATCTTTGCTACGGTCTTGTGCACAAAAAAAGCCCGCGAAGAGCTCCAGTGGTTGAGTAACATTTCGTTTCACAAACAAGAAATAAGCTCCATTAATAATTGACAAAAGTGGTAGTTTCGAAATCCATTTATCCATAACCGGTCAGAGAAATCTGTCGAAGAAAACCATAAAGAAATTAACAATTACAGTCCTACGCGAGTTGTGTTCCAGTTAGCCGCTGGAAAGGGTGGCAGACTGTTGCTACTTCAACTAATTTTTTCTTTTCGTTATAGCTGACTTTAGTGGAAATATAACGACACAAAGTCTGGGAAACTGTTTGGTTAAAAAGTAACCTAAACAAACGCCTGTTTACAAAAGACACCTCATTCTACTTTATTTTACACCGACATAAGCATGGCACCTCATTTCACTTCAGGTCATGGAAAATGTGCATACCAAGAAGAATACGAGAGCAAGTGTAGTGTAGAAAAGCGTGCAATAATAGAACGCTTTTCCGCCAGCCATAAACATCAGTAAACAGATTATCATCCTGGAAATATTGATTGTTGCATACTGGTCATCTCACACAGGTCAAAGCTGAGCGTATCTACTGACACGAAATTCGCACTTCCCAATCTATGGCATGACTACTTTCCCAGTCTTAAGAAGTTATATAGAGTCAGCGACAGGGATGTAATATGAAAAAAAATATTTCTCAAACCTAAACCTACCCAAAGAATTTGTAGGTGCTATATGCCAATGAGTGCCACACCGATAAGCTCTAAATTATAGATATAAGACCCATTTGTATTGAAATACAACAACTATAGTGTTGTTGGTGCAATTGGTAATGTTCTTTCTATTTTTTTAGATCATTATATTATTCAATCGCCGTATTCATTTTGCAGTTATACTATCCGCGCCTGTTTCGACTTTTCAACATCTTTTCCTCCAGCAATTACTGGAAACAACAGTGAGATATGAACCAAATAAAAAGCTTGTAGCCATACCGGCCTGTTGAACAAAATTTCTGCCTTCCGTTGGGTCTCGAAAGCCAAAGAGCTCGTCTATGAAAGAGCAACTGTTTTTTCAAGCAAAAATTTTATTTACCAATTCTATGTGGTGTAAACGGAATGAACACTAAATAAAAGGAGCAAAACTAAAAAATCACATATAAGGACGAAAACTCAACATACCTCCGATATATTCATCACATATTTACTGACAAAAATAACAATGTTCTCGATAATAATCCATATGAATGCATTGCTTGTGAGGATCCCCAACATTTCTGGAGAGAACCTAAATCGTAACAACTAGGCGGTTAACAACTTACGTTAATAAACAGAATCATGTTCACAATGTATAACTTTTACTAACTGTCCATTAATTTTTTTTCACGGCAGGATATTATGTGAAATTCAACCACATTGATGCTGATATTTGCAAAACACGGACCCTAGGTCACATCGAACACGTGATTACCTTTTCCGGGTCTAAAATGTTACCTACTGCAGCACTTCGTCCTCCATCTCTCATCAAATTTTACACTAACGCTACCATCGGTAATTACGCGAAGACACTGGGGATGAAAAGTGCAGAGCGAAAAATCTAATGAGAGAAATGCTATATCCGCACAATAACTAATGTCGAGTCACACGAATAAAAATGAAATAGGGCTTCAGTTCACTTCGTACATTTGATTAAAAACTGAAATATGCTCGTACAGTGTTAAACGGATGATATTTTTTGGGAAGCTGCACGCTTCCTCCTAGTCACGCTCGTGTCTAGCTTCGAGTGCAACTTAGATCTCTGTGATGTTACTCATTAAAATGCCATATTCTAGACGAGCACGATTCTCCCTAGAAACAAGAGATTGTTGAGCTAGCGGTTACTTTAGTTGTCATCACAATGAGTTGCCGACCTTTGCGGATAGTAGGAAGGTTACTAATTTACAACTCTAATTCCTCCCTTAAGAAGGCGACTCCTGTAATTAGCCCATGATCGTTTACAGATAACCCAGCAAACCGAATACCTTGACAACAATTCCAAAAAAGAAAATTAACTTCAAAAAGGATTATTGCAGTTAAAACCAAATCATCATCAATGCATGTCATCGTATTGGTTCTTAAGTTGTGGCAAAAAAAGTTCTATTTGTTGGATCTTCTTCATTCTTGTTGCAATGCATACCATAACACACAAGAGTCCTTCATAACAGTTGTAAGAAAAGTCGCATTCCAGCAAAATACTCCAAGTAAACGTCACAAATACAAAACAAAACCATTCGGGCTGTGCATAAACGTGGACACTGACACATTACTTTAAGTACTTGTTCAAGAGCTGCAGAGACACATGTGCTGTCGTGAACACCATTACTCTCTACCCTGGGTACTTTCTTAACCAGCACCAGTCTCAATGTGCAAAACAAGCTTATTCGAAGAGCAGTTCCTTGTAAATTCCTAAACGCGTGTAATAGACTTTCGTGCCCAAAAAATGGTCTATTTTAGGACAGGCACGAATTTTACACAAAAATGTAGCAAAAAATTTCTGTACGGCAAAAAAGCATGAGGTCAAACTGAAAGATGGCTTGAAGCAGTGGATAAACTACTGGAACCTAACAAGACAAATAATTTAGGAAGCCACATTGCACAACAACTATCGAGATTTAACAACGCGTCACATTTCTGATAACCAAGCACTTACTTTCTAAGGACACCAATCCAAGAAACACATGAAAAAAGGGAAAAAAAGTGAAGAATTGTGCACCGGCCAACACTAAATCAAACATCGGTTTAGTGCGGACTATAACGACTCACGGGATCAATGAATACACTGCGCATAACTCCGCTACTTATTCTATAACACCTTAGCATAAGCCCAATCAACTCCAATGAGACTTTTACTATAATTACTGGAGTAAACAAATACTCTGCGTACCTAACCACTTTCTATACCACGATACCCCAGCTTAAGGCATATTAGAGCTCGAATGAGTATATCTGTACTCTTGTAGACGACACTCGAGCATTGTACGGATACGGAAGTTTTTTCCAAGAACAACGTAGTAAATGGTAGTCAGCATCAAAATAAGTTGCATTCCATTCAATCAAAACACAAACCTTCCCTGTGTTCCAAGTACAAATCCGGAGACTATAATGTATGTAATAAAAGCCATTAATGGAATATAAAGATCCGGGGCATTGATATCATCCTTGGCTGGAACTGGACCGTCCGATGTAGAATATTTTAAAGACCAATCCTAAAACCAAAATCAACTACGTCCTATCCATAAGAAGCGACATTACCATGTTTAATTAGTTAGAAACTGAACAGCAAATGGAAAGCATATGGCAGCAATAGAATTCGTTTTGCCGAGCTGACATCACCCTAAGGATAATTAACTACCTCATGCTTCTTAAGCATAACCAACTTTTCAAATTTATCAGTTAGCAATTCAGGAGTTGGAATGATGCTGTCCCAACGCTGTCGAGTCACTTTTACGAATAATAACATAAAGTGATTGACTGCACTAAACATATTTACAAAAACGCATAATTTTCCGTGTTTTCCTCGTAGTAAAAATGATTAAAGGATAAAGCTCTCGGCGTTGAACAATCCCTGAGCGATGCGCCATGAATTCGACTTCACTGAGCATAGTTTGGAGATGATTGAATGCATATTTGGCTCTTACAATGACTGGCGGTGGCCTACCGACGATATATCCAGTCAGTGCTGTCATTCGCCCAGACAAGTTTGGCACAAATTTGCCGACCCTGGAGGGATGGAAGGAAGGTGAGCCTTGGGCGCGGGGATCGAACTCATGTGTAATGCAGGACGCCTCCGACTACTGCGTTACACATGCCCCTCCTTGTAATATGACGTTAAATCTTCCGGCCATTGTGCACTGGTGAGAATCAAAGCTGAACACCTCCTATACCACTCTCCCAAAAAGAACATTCTCATCATTAGCAACAGAATCGGTTTTCTATTAACCTTGGCATTGGAATATGAATGTGTCGTTTTCTTGTTCAGCAATCGCAAGGTTTTTCAACTTCCTCATTGGAAGACACGTAAAGAGCGGTGAGTTTTTCAAGAAGCTGTTGAGCATGTAATTACCAAAGCGTGTTTCGTCCTTTGTTAGTGTTATTGAAGCGTTTGGCCTAGAAGATTGTATATCAGTATACCCTTCCAGGCTCTGAAGAAGGCGATACTGCCGAAACGTCAGCAAGTGTTGTATTGTATTGTGTTTTTCTATGGAAGCAAATGTATGCTGTTTAAAAACCTCGCGGTTGCTGAACAAGAAAAGACACATTCATATTAACAAAAGAATTTATGCTAATTTGTTTGTGCAAAAAGGAATTAGTCGCCACTAAACCTATATACTTGCATTTGTAGAGCAGCACCAACTTCGTACCTTCCTCAGCCACACTTTCATAGAAAAACTTGTCCAAAGAACTTTCTTTTGCAAATTCTTAGCATTAGGATAGAGCTCTTCTCAGACCACGTATAGTACAGTATAAGTGGTGGAAACGACATCTATTACACACATAAAGTACAAGAAGGAATTCTATGCAGCGGAGGCAATCACTGAATGGAAACGGCACTGAATCCACACAGTTTACTGCTGGTTCCCACGTGTCCCCACCAAACCCCACTGTAAATGTGCTAATCAATCATACAGATAGAATTTCCATGGTGGTATGCATTGTTCATATACCTATGCTACTGGCTACAATGAGGGAAATGGTGTAACATCAAAACAACTCCTGTTTTACTTCATTCACTCCCTCGAAATTCTAATGCAGCTCACAACGGGCTCACATTACCAATTCTACAGACTGTGCTTCACAACACACAAAATTCATTGTCCTATAACATGATAACCTCCCAATGCTTCACCGCCTCATTGTGGCCGGGAGGTGTTCCTGGTTGTTGGGCTGCGATGAACAGCGGGGATTCACAACCAGCAGGGCATCCTAAGCTGAGTCCAGCGCTTTCAACAACAAACTCAGCTAATAGTTAACTAGTAGCAGAAACCACCACCCTCCCGGTATCAAACTAGTCGCATGGTGGCAAATCTCGCTCTGATCAACAAGGGCGACGACTGCCTGTGTTGGTGACGACCTGGGGCAGACTGGCCTGGCCAACCTCGGGACTCCAGAGAACCACAATGGCTAAACCAGTAAAACTCCGAAAAGTGGAAATTTTGTTGAGGCCCGCACAACCAGGGAGACGGACAATCCAAGTAAACAAGTAAGTAACAACTTGATAAGCATGTGCTAGGAAATCTCAATATAAAAAGTGTTTTGCAATTCTCAATAACCAAAAACACTGGACTTACGCGGTGGAAGAATGGGAACAGAAGAATTCCAAGTTTCTTTCCAACGTAAGAATTGTCAACAGAGAAATAGTATTTTAAGTTGAAAGCGTTCAAATATTTTGCCATCTGGAAGTGCACTAAAACGTAATTTTAAAATCCAGCCTTTATACAGTAAAGAAACTAGCCTTCTCTTTTTGTTGCTCAGCGAACTGTCCTCCAAAGTGCTGAGCAGCCCTCATCATAGGATCATTTAAAAAATCTTGCGTGGAACCCGGAAATCCGAAACCTGCTGTTGTTAAGATGGTATGGACGTAAATGTCCAACCCAAGGCTTCTTTTAAAGCGAGGAAGTATTACCTGCATTTAGATTTTCCTGGCCATAACTATCATACTGCTGTGTTACCACTGGTTGGCTTTGGCTCTGATAGCGTTGTGCCATTACTGGTTGCCTTTGGCTCTGATGGTAGTATCCCGTACCAGATTCAGAATACGCTCTTAAAGAAAACGAACGAGGCTGTATTTAAGTGCATGAAAGTAAGTGAAATGGTGTCCAGTTCTTGGAAATCCGTGCTGTAGATCCAACGGTATTTGGTCTACTACATAAAGGTGCACCTCCAACGGTTTACCGCCTGCCTCATCGTCGCTGGGAGGTGTTCCTGGTGTCGGGCTGCGATGTACAGCGGGGGTTCGTTCACCTGGCAGGGTCTCCTAAGTTGAGTAGGAGCCCGACGTTTCCATCACGAAGCCCACCAAAGAGTAAACCAATTCCATGATCCACCACCGCCCTAGTATCGGACTACATGGTGGCAAATCTCTCACTGATCCACAAGGGCGGCGACTGCCTATGGTAGTGACGACCTGGGGCAGCCTTTGGCCTGGCTTGCCTCGGGACTCCGGGGTACCAGAAAGGCTAGACCAGCAAAACTTCGAAACAAAGGAGATTATGCTGGGGCTCGCACAACCAGTGTGGACGAGCCATCCAAGTATCCAAGTAAGCAATTATATGGATCTTACCCATATGGTTGGTATTGTGCCTGCTGTCGCTGCTGCTGGTGCGAATAGCCTAGGTGGGCTCCCATTTGGGACGCGTCTCCCCAGTCGTTACTCCAATCGTTTGACATGTTGTGGTTCTAAATGTGCTTCCTTAAAAGACATACTAATTATCGAAAACTGTGGCCGCATTTTGGCTCATAGCCAGCACAAAGATATTCTGAAAATCAACTGCAAAATAGTTCCACTGTACAAAATAACGCTGAAGAAACTGATTAAAGAATAGAAACGCGCTTACAACAAGAAGACGAAAATCAACGGTATATGACGAAAGACTGCAAGCGGTAGAATAACAAGTACGACTTAAATCCTTCTGATGCACATAGGACTAGGGTTACATAACCCCAGATAGAGTCCTCTTGGCCTTTTGGCAAGAATCTCGAGCTACAAAAATGAGTTAAGCATACAGAAACAAGCACTAAAGAAACTTTCCTGACACAAACTTCAACTATACGTCATAGAATTTAACGTGTCCCTGAGTGCACTGTCAATAGAGCACGATTGCCAGACCGCCTGCTTGAAAGGTCGCCACACCCTAAATGATGAGATTAGATGGCCACACTATTTCGTAATGATTATATGCTGGTGTCTCAGCAGGTCTCGAATAGCGTAGTGGTAGTGATCCCGTTCATTAATGCTAACGGCTCAACCCGCAAGGAGCTGGATCAAACTCGCACGAGCCCGACCAGCCCGTCTCTTCGTGGTCAAAAAATTGTTACCAGCTTTGTCTAGGGTAATATTACTGCTTGCACCCTTCATGGGGAACCCTCTGGCATGGCTGTTCAAGGGTTTCAAGGAGAATCGACTTGACCAGCACTCAAGGACATTCAGGAGGACACGAAATATTTTCAATCAGCAACCGCAACCACACGCAAAGAAGTCCGAAGAGCATCGTGGATGGTAAATGCGAGGAAATTAAACGAATGTAAGAAGTGTAGCGATACCCACAGTGTGATACATGTGTTGTTGCGTCATGTAATAAATTCTTGAAGGAAAAGAAGTCTCGATAAGCAAACCAATGAGTGGACTGTTGTGTCATTCCAAATCCTAATATGGAATGGTGACGGGAAGTGTTTAATTATCCACTTATTTTGATAGTTGAATGACCCATCTTCACTGGTTTTGCGAGCCCCAGCATAATTTCCACTTTTTCGGAGCTTTGTTGACTTAGCTATTGTGGTACCCTGGAGTCCCGAACCCAGCCTAGTCGGTCTGCCCCAGGTCGTCACCGCAACAGCGAGTCGCCGCCCTTGTGGATCGGAGGGAGATTTGCCACCATGCGACTAGTTTGATACCAAGTTGGTGGTGGATCCTGGTATGTCCTGGCAACAGTGTTTAATTACTCAATCATTAGTTGCACACTAGGCAAATTCCTCCTACACGCCACAAAGACAATGGCATCGTCAGAGAGTATCTGCATTTAGGGAGAACAATTTCCAAATTTAACCCACTATTTCCATGGATACCTTAGTGGGCCATCTTCATGAAAAATAGTGCTGATCCCACCACAATTTCCATTGGAGTGATCTTTGGCTCTTTTCACTCATTTTTGCCCTGAAATCTCAAAATAGCCATACATGTTCTTACAGTGTCACCACTAGTAATCGCCTGTCGATTCAGATACAGGACTACCGTCCACATTCTGACAAGAAAGAAGACGGTGTGGACTCAATCCAACTACAAAGGATAAAAAGGATGAAGGCCTCGGCGTTGATCAAGCCTGAGGGATGCACCATGCATTCTACCTCACTAAGCACCGTTGGAAGTGATTGTGTGGATATCTAGCATTTACAATGATTCGCTGTGGCCTACCGATATATCGAGCCACTGCTGCTATCCTCTCAGACAAGTCTGGTACCAATCTGCCGAACCAGGAGGGATGGAAGGCTTGGTGGGCCATGAGCGCGGGGAACGATCCTGGAGATCCATGTGCATTGTGGGAGGACTCCGTCCATTACGCTACACGCACCCCAACTGCAAGATAGAAAAAACAAAATTCGAAAGGGACAAGATGTAGAGCTGTGTATGATCGCGCAAAATCTGAATTCCTCCGCTTTCAAAATCGATAACGGGTCAAAGTTCACGTTTGAGGAAGCAAAGCCTTCACTAAGTAAGTTTTCAACAATTCATTTCACATCGTAACACATACAAAACGATTACTGAGACTTTTCAAATCTACCAATATCTCTAACAACCAAATAATTGTGCATGTAAGAAAGAATGTCCTTGGACGCTTTTGGTTATCATTAAGAACAAACACGCAAACTATCAGCACCAGCCCACCAGCGAATCATTCATGCCTGCTTCCGATTTCCATACACAAATACAACAATAAACATTCCAAAACGACAGAAATGTTCAACAACTGGATGAAAAAGATGTCGGTAAAAAGCATGTGGACAAAAAAAAGACGAACAAAAAACTTAGAGGTAAATGTTTGGTGCTTTTCGAAGTCGTTTTCGATCAGTCGAAATCCCGACCAGAGGAATTTTCAGTGTACTCCGACTATTCAGGGCGTCAGCCAATTTTTTTCACAATATGCACAAGGTCAGAGCATGTGCAACGTTCCGAACAAATTTACCAACACAGAACTAAAATCCCAAAGATGATAAAAGGAAATATGTTTTGCAACGGAACGTGCGACAATTGAGCAAGCCAGCGTCGAGAAATCGAATAATCGATGGTGACAGCGATACACTTCCTGAATTCTTTAGGTTTAAAGATAATGAAATTGCGCAGCCTTTCCTCGAATACGGTGTCTGCAGGAAACAGCCTAGCAGTCCTGAGTGAAGTTATCCTTTTTGCTGGTAGCACAGCGTGGCGATTCGCTTGAAATGCGATTCTGCAAACACGACAAACGCCGGCTGCACAGCATAAAACAAAATCCTTATAAGAAAATATCAGCCATACCTTAATCATTTTCTCAAGATCCAGACATGGACGCCAAGCGTTGCAGCGGTTTCTTTTAGCAGCAGGATAAGGAGCTTCAGATGAACTTCCAGATTGAATGGATTCATTAACGACACCGTTGCCTTTATTTCTCCAGTATGGCTTGTTGATCAGCAGTCGGACAGGAGCTCGGCGTGCCGCCACAACGATTTCACGTGAAGAATCTGAAAAAAAAACTGTCCAGTTGAAAACGATAAGATGCGAGAAGAAGACCGTATGACTATGAAGAAAACACTACTGCATGAACTACGCCTTGTTACTTGATATTTTTATTTCGAAAAGCATGAAGAGCTAATTCATCCAACCAGGCGTACTCGCCCACCATTAGTGCTCCTGAGTCGACTGGCAATTGGCCCACTGTCATTCTTTTCCGTGCTGCTATGGCGCCGCTTCTCGGCGACCCCACAGATATTAATAAGTGGAAACTCGCATTTCCCCTAAAAACTTCGAACCAGTAAAACAGATAAAGCATATGACATGGAAATATAACACAAAAAACTTACTTTGGAAAATTTCGCAGTGTCAAAAGCACCATCACGCATACGGCGACGTCTATAAAAGTAGGATGAAAACTAGGATGAACACCAGAACATATATGTATACATGTATATATATTCTTAGGAAAAACGCATACTTTCGTGGGACATGACCACACTGATATATTTTCGAAGTGTTGCATAAGCCGTATGAAGTGCTGAGATATTTGCAAAACTCCGGACCACAGGTGTATGCAGTGGGGAACGAACACGCGCTGTTGTCCTTACCGGGGACCAGCGCACTTCACCACTACACCATCCGGGTCACCCTCTGGTCCGGAGTTTTGCAAATATCTCAGCACTTCATACGAGTTATATTTCACAACATACCCTGCCATTAAGAAGAAAAAGGCAGTAAATAAAAGAGTTAAGATGTTGCAAAAGGTTAGCATGGTGAACACACCCATTCATTTATAACATCAGGCATTTCACCAAAGTAATTTGCTAAGTAATAGCTGATTTGTCACCACAACATTTGAAGTGATCCTACTATTTTCCAATATACCACAAATACCCACCAACGGTTTACCACCTCATCATAGCTGGGTGTTCATGGGTGTAGGGCTACGATGTACGACAGGGAAAATTCATCCTTCCGGTAGGGTCTCCCAAGCTGAGAGGAAGTCCAGCGTTTCCATCTGGAAGTCCAGCTAAGAATAAACCAATCCCAGGATGCACCACCATCTTGGTCCCAAACTAGTAGTATGGTAGCAAATTACCCTCTGATCAACAAGGGCGGCGACTGCCTGTGGTGGTAACGGCCTGCGGCAGACTGGCCAGGAGGACCTCGGGATTCCAGCGAACCACAATGGTTTAACCAGCAAATTTCCGAAAAATGGAGATTGTGCTGGGACCCGCACAACCAGTGAGGACGGGGCATTCAAGTATCAAGTATTAAGTAAAAAAAACTGAAGAAAAACAAAAATTCATGTCAACCAGCTTCACGCTTTTGTTCGAAACAAGTTGTGTATCCCTAAATTGTTTCTGCCGTTCTCAGTCAAATAGGGAAACACGGATTGGGATCAACTTTTTGATAGAGGTAACATTTATAACTTTTTCCAATCCTACTGGTTTTAACACAAGGTTAACAAAATAGAACAAATATTCCTTGTTGACGTCGCGGAGACTTACCATCAAGTAAAAAAAACTAGTCCTTTCCTGAATATAGTACCTACTCTATGGATTTGAAACCAACAGTAACTTACGGTTTAGGTGTTGCACATTCATCACTGTCAGACGTCGAGTCGCCATCTCCTGTTAGAATGCCTGACTCATGACCGAAACTGTCCCAGCTAAACAATTCTAAACTCTGAATACCACAAGTCGACAAATTAACAGTTAACACAGAAGAAATCAAACAGTTTGTCAATGAGAACAACCTACCAGTAACATTCACCTCTCCCAATAATCATCAGGCCTTAATCCACTTTACATATGATAGCACATTTTAGACCGAATGCAAAACTCTATATGGTAACGTATTACTGAATAGGAAGAATGAGCAGGTTTTAAAGGAAGGGATATTATAGACATAACTGCAAAGGAACTCTCACGACTCACTGATTCTTTGAACAAAACCTGACAATACACAAATCCACCAAAACAGGCTCCTCAACAAATCCAACTCTAGAGAAGTACGGCTCCATCATCCCTCCACTTCCGCAATAGCAACGAAAGAATCCAAAAGGGAATATACTTTTCGATTATATATATATATATATATATATATATATATATATAACATTTATGCACCTATATGTACACATAGTTGCACACGAACATTATATATATATATATATATATATGCAGCTGTATCTGTTATCGGAGCGTTTGACTTAGTATATTGCCTATATATAAATAGATATATGTGTATTTATATATATATTATACACATATATACGTGTATGTACACACAGAGACGGGATCCGAAACCCCGACCTGCGTCAGCGATCAAAAATCAAAAATGCCGCTCTGTACACCAAACAGTCGAAAATAAGGTGGGTTGGACACTTAATGCGAATGAATGACAACCAATGGACAAGGGCCGTTAGTGACTGGATTCCTCGGGATGACAAACGCACCGCAGGAAGACCACCAACCCGATGGTCAGTGTTCTCCACGAAAAACCTTGAAGAAAGATATGATGCTCGACGAGTTAGTTCCTAGAGCGAGCAGAACCCACCTGGTCACTCTTGAACGCGATAGGAAAAAACGGAAGATTTACTGGTGCCCGTTCGAGTCACTCAACGACCAACAGGACGACAGGTGATAAAGATTAGGTGATAAGTACAGGAAGAAGACAGGAGCTAAACGCGAAACAAAACAGTATACATTACAATGTAAACTCATGTCATAATTTTTCACGAAACGATATTATGTGTGCAACAACCATAATATTGCTGAGATATTTGCAAATCTCTGGACCTCAGGTGTATGCGGTAGGCAATGGACGCTTCATTACCCTTTCCGGGGCTAACGCGTTCAGTTCCACACCATGTAGGTCCTTTATTTCGCCTGTCTCTCAGCTAGTTCTATTGATCAATGCCATCAGCAATCACACATCAACGGGATTAATCTGGAGAGCCCAAATCGGAAATGAACCCAGTTAAGGCGAGGCTGTAGTCGAAATCACAATGTAAACTTTTCTACTTACTGCCTATCACAATGTTTTCACAGTGTACTTCCTCTAAGACATAGATGAATTCAGGCAATATACTTATTACTTCTACAGAGCCCGACTATGTTATACTTACTGTAAACACATAAGCATGTCCGTACAGACGTGAAAAAGTGTACTTGCAAGTATTGAGATGGAATTCAGCATATAAATGCAAAGGCTTAAAAGTGTCCAGAATGGATGTAGGAGGTGGCTCAGTGTGCCAAATTGCAATGTACAGAATTCAACCTCACGAGGGTATGCACTCAGTCTGACTCCGATGATTCTATCCAGAACTCCAACAACTGCTTTCCTTTAACATCTAAGGAATTTTTGCTACACAAAATTCCGAAAACAGCAAAACAGAAGAGCAGAAACGGTAACCAACATTCTATCTATGCGGTTTTAAAAAGTGGTCTTTTTGCAAATATGATAAACTGAGGGAATGATACGAGTGGATGAAGAAAATGAGGTTTGAACGAATGAATTGATTACCCCAGATAAACGAGGGCGTTAAAAGAAAAGAAGTTATATATCTGTTCCAAGTATTTAAGCTGGGATCCAATATACTCACCAATTTTCATGCTTTTTATTTCCACGCAATTTGTGATCATATACATTCAAAAACTTCGTTATACAACAATTTTGGTATGCGTTTAGTTCTACGGTTAAACACGCTCTGCAACACATATTATATTGATCGACCGTTCGGTTCCCGCCAAAAGCTAATTAAGCCCCATATAACATTGGTACTTGAGTTTTTCTGGATTATAAGAAGACTAATTCGACACGTTGGTACACCCCCATGTACAAGTCATTTATGCAACCAGTTATCTCCACGATATAATTTTTATACAGTGTTCTTTCCAACTTAAATATATTTAGAACTAGGAAAAGTGTAAACGGAATTTAAAGGTTTTAAAATTTCTAATGCAAAAGCGGCAACAACAAACATGAACGTGTGGAACACGACTCTACCCTGATCCCGTTCGTTCATTTGATTTCCTGTTTGCATTATTAGCCTTAAAGCAATAAAATGAAAGAAATTATGCCATTCTCGGGAAGATCTAAGTTTCATCGTGGAAAAACAAGTGGAAGCGAAGTTCCTTTACTTCGTCAGCAAAAAAATTTGCACATTTTAAGTCTCCACTACAGTTGATGAAATTCGCTATGAGCTGAGATATGTTGATTCAAATTTAAAAGCGGTCATAATTTCCGCACTGATTTCTAAATAAGTTACTTTGTCAAGTAAGGGTTAATAGAATCGAATGAAGGACGCACTCCTTAGCAATGCAATCTCCAATTAATAAAAGAACTAAAACATTGCGCAATTTCTCACCTACTGAATTGTAGTACGAATAACGTAAGAAATGTGCAAGAAAAAAAGGATAAAACTTTCGGCGTTGATCAATCCCTAATGGATGCGCCATGCATTCGACTTCGTTAAGTATCGCTGGAGCTGATTGAATGCATATCTAGCTTTAAAATGACTCGCGGTGGCCTACCGATGTGTTGAGCCAGTGCTACTATCCTCCCAGACAATCCTGGTACCTATTTACCGACCCCGCAGGGATGGAAGGCTTTGTGAGCGAACCATGGGCGCAGGGATCGATTCCACGTGTGTGTCGCAGTGGCGCCTCCAACCACTGCACCACACGCGCCTTTGCAAGTAACAGTATTCTAACCGCAGGGAACTGCAGTTCATATGTCTGACTGTGGGATAGCTTGTTGCCGAATCTTTAACTTGTGGGAGACTGTCTAACGGTATCTCTAGCCAAAATCTGCCAAAAATATAATCCACTTCTCGTAACTTGCATTTGGAAAAGAAATATTCATCTTCGATTTCATACTTTAAAAACAAGTTCGTGAAGAAAATAGATCTGTGTGGTGTCCTTACTGATTGCAGGTAAACAAGCATCTGTAGAAACGACAAAACATCAAATTGCTAAGGTAAGTGATTAACAATTACCTTTCGGTTTCGATATCAGTAGAGGTTGGAGGCGAACTTGAAAGGACTGGCGGGCTACCAGAAAGAAACGCTTCCATATTGTTCGCCGTGAGTGATTCTTAAATAACGTAAAGCCTTAAATGCAAATATATTAGGAGACAAAATATGAGGAAAAAGCAACACTTGGAGTTACCCCGAAAATTACTGTTACCACTAAGATTAATTCGCAATCAACTTCAAGTTTTATTAGTGATGTTGACATGGGATTGTGTAACCTGATAGTTTACGAAGGGTGCGTGTGGCGCAGTGGTTGGAGGCGCCCTGCAATACACGTGGGATTATTGATCTCCACGCCTTTGACCTACCAAGCCTTCCAGCTCGGCAAATTGCTACCAGACCTGTCTGGGAGGATAGCAGATAGAGTACTGACTTGATACATCGTTAGGGAACTGCGAGTCATTGTAAACGAGAGTTATGCATTATCACCTCCGCACGATACTTAGTGAAATCAAGTGAATGGTGCATCCCTTAGGGATTGATAAACGCCGAGAGCTTTATTCTTCATCCTTTAATATTCTACAACTCGATCCAAATTGGGTTTCCACGTACGAACAACCCAATAGCTATCAATCTAATTCAAGAGATTTATTTTGGAGTACAAAGTTTGTGACCTTGCAATATTTTTTCAACAAGTAGAGTAATCCAAAGGGAGCGAGTAGTATAATGGTATTGATGCTGATCCCTCTGAAGTCCGGAAATACGTTGAATGCTTGTTTGGTAAGAAGTTCATTATCCGCAGTCCACTTTTGAAAGATCTACTGTAGCTATCTTTAGATTCCAGGAAGAATCGACTCGTTCCGCATTCAATAACATTTACGACGAAAAGAAAATCCTCAAGTAGCATCCTAACCTACACGCAGAAAACTGGAACACCTTCGTGGATGCGGGATTCGAGGGAACAAATCCGATTCAAGAGGTGCTAGGTTTCGCACAGTACATGTGAAGAAACGGTCATGTAAAATAAAAAATGATAGATAAGTCACCCAACAATAACTTCGAAAAGGTAAAAGGAACTAACTTTGAGCAATTTCTTCAAGTTCGTCCTCGTCAGACTCTGTTCCCGAATCACGAATAGGTTCCTGAAAGCATCTGATGGTGGTTTTGAACACATGGCGGAAGAACAGTTACTCTCATAGAGAAATCAATAACCAGTCCATCTCCTAATTAGCTGGTTCTTTCTTTTCCGCTTCCAGCTAAGTGATAAACACAAATCGACCTCGAATATGAGCGATTGCTTCAAAAATTAACAAAACAATGTTCGAAGCCATTGTCACACAAAGTTTTACATCACATTCCATGGCTACGCACGTATAGCGCAGTAGTCGGAGGCGCCCTGCAATACAATGGATCGATCCCCGGGCCCGAGGCCCATCAAGCCCTCCGTCCCTCCAGGTTCGTCAAATGGGCACCATTGTCTGGGAGGATAGCAGCACTGGCTTGCTACATCGAGAAGACACCGCGAGTCTTTGTAAAGGCCAGATATGCATTCAGTCACCTCCAACGATACCTAATGAAGTTGAATGCATAACGCATCCCTCAGGGATTGATCATCACCAACCCCTTTTATCCTTCTATGTTTCGCGCATAATTTTTCATTAATTTCAATCTTAAACGCTTTTGAAATTAAAATAAGATTTTAGATAAGTCGCTTATATAACGAGAACGGTGGTGTGGAATCTTTTCTATAAAACTATCAAAATCGGAATTCACCGACCTCCTCTAAAATCAGAATTCATCCATCCCTAAAGAATTGACCAACCCCGAGAGCACGAGAGCTTTTACTCAGGAACCCACTATGACTCAGAAAAACGTTTGGTAACGGCAGAAACACTGAACATTTGTTAATAGCATAACAAGTCAGTAAGCAAGCTTGAAACATACCCTTAAGAATTACATGTGAGCTGCTGACTCTTACAACGCATTCTAAAACGAGCTGTTGGGCACATAGGAACTGAAGTAATCAGGTTACGTAAAAACTATGACAAGGACGATGTACCTTCATTGTAAGGCCAACAGGTTCAATCCAAGGGCACATTTATTGTTTAGTTGAATGCATTCGACTAGCTGGTACGATATTTGAACATTTCAAGGGCTCATCGCAAAAAACTTATGAGCCAGCACTATTTTCGCCTCACTGAAACCTTCGTGGTTTGAGCAGCGTTCGATCAAAATTTTTTCTTTTGAAATCTGAAAACGGGGTAGTACCGATTCCATAGGAGAGGCACTACACAGAT